GAAGGTAATTTGATTGCACGTATATTACGAGGCAGTAGACAAAATCAGCATGCATTCAAGCCTCTGCATAGTTGCTATTTTCGTGGAACTGGGCTTTATCGGGTTTCATAGACATAGACTCTGATATTCCAAAATGTTTTTTGTCGCTTTCGTCCCTGAATATTCTTTGTCAAGGAATAACCCTACGTCGATTCACCAGCAACCGAGTTCTCTTGCTTAATGAGACCATAGTTTAAGGAGTGAAAGTATAGTCAATTATGCCCCCTGACAGTTCGACTGTCGTTGCCAACTATGTCTACCGTGTGCTCCACAGCGAGGTAAATCAGTTACGGGGACTTACGCCTGAATAAGCTTTTAGTGAGAACCAACTGGCCCAGCATTTGCCGCACCCGCTCCTACTCACTCACCCGGGCCCAGTATCAAGATGACCTTATTTTAAGAAGTAGAATTATACTCGACTGTGTTTGGTAAAGCTAATTAAACGACACTGTACATTTTATCAGCTCTCAGTAAGTTTAACAAGTCGACTCAAGTTTGCAAGGCATTATCCCTGAGGTGGTAGTGGAGAGGAAGAAGAAGAAAAAGGAAAAGGAGAGGAAGAGGAGGAATAGGAAGGAGAAGAAGAAGAAGAAGAAGAAGAAGAAGAAGAAGAAGAAGAAGGGGAGGAGGAGGAGGAGGAGGAGGAGGAAGAAGAAGAGGAAGAGGAAGAGGAGGAGGAGGAGGAGGAGGAGGGGGAGGAGGAGGAGGCGGAGGATGAGGAGGAGGAGGAGGAGGAGGAGGAGGAGGAGGAGCAACAGCAACAGCAACAGCAGCAGTGGCAGCAGCAGGAATAGGGACTAGACCTATTTGGAATCGACCCTAACCGGCGGACCCTATACAATTTTTGATCTTATTGACCTCTCAAAACGGTGTTTGAAGCAAGTCTTCCGTATGAGGCCGAGAAAGCACAGTGGTACATTTAGTAGTATCACAAATTAAGAAAACACTTTATCTGCATTCATCTTTCTGGGATAAATCTTTGCCAGTACAACAAATTGCTCTGTCCTAACTCTTCTGTATCAGGTATCCTGAGGTGGAGTTAGGGGATCAACCGTCTCTTCTCAGATTCGGAATTTACATGAGGCAGCACTTTGTCGCCACCCATGAACACGTGTAGTCATCAGGTCATGCTGTTTTAAACTGCAGTACGCTTGTCTGTTTCGGACTTCTTGTACATTTCATGTCCACTTTAGTGCCAGTATGCCGATGGTGGCGAGTTTTGATTGCGTTAAACCCGACTTCCTTTGCGACCTCCGGAATTTTAGCAGAAATCCCAGAAAGTAATCAGTGGAATGTGACCAGTGAAAGCACTTTTAGGTCCGGACTGAATTTTCATGTAGACATTCCGGTAGAGTAGTTCTAATTTTACAGGACTACCCGCATAATGTTCACATATAGCAATTAGAGGTTTCAGGTATGAGCTTTCGTTTCACATGGTGTAGTTCTTAGACAGATTACAAACTCCATCAAACCCTAAAGGAATTACAAATGCGAAGCATTCTATATACTAGGTGCATGAGGTGTCATTGCAAATTCAGCTGAAATGTGGCTCAGAGTGAAAAAAGCGGTCATGTCCTCAGACTAAGATGCAGAGTATTTGGGATTACTATGTTGGTGACACCACTTTTTCGGCTCTGTGGTTTTCCTTTTCTTATACGTAGTCGACCTCTGCTTACAATACGCATATAGTCCAACTACAGGTCTTCTCAGTTTTACTCCCCAAGGACCAACCCGGGGAACGACCTAAAGGTCTGTAGGCGTCTACTGCGCCAGGGTCGGCAAACCATAATCCTCGCAGCCTGCGCGCTGACAGTTCTCTGGCGCCTGACTCCCTGCCGGTAGATGTGACGGATATACGGGTCGTGAGATTGGCTGCCCAGTCATTCTGGTCCTTCTGACTCATTGTGCAGCTGTTGGTCAAAAGCCTAGTCAAGCGTTTGTTGGGGATCACGGGGTGTGGCGATACGCCTAGGTACGGGTCCGGCCTGCCAGCCACATGCTCCCACACGCTCACCTCCGGTCTACTTGACTACGTCCTGACACGCGGTTCGGGTGGGGAGGCGGAGGGAGTGCGATGGATATTGCACAAGTCTGCACGCGCAAGTCACCGTTCCTGCTACACCTTGATGTGGGACACACGGTGGACATTGTCGGGCATGACGGTCTAATCTTCACTAGTCGAACTCTGACATCCCTTCTCTCGAGTTTCCGCGGTTGTACGATGCAACAATAACAGTACGTACCATCAGTGGATGCCACTTATTGCCCACCCACGAATTTCGACCTAATGCGAGGCCGACCTCTAGAACGCCATCGATTGTCCAGCAAAAGTAGCGAGAAGTATGCAGATTTGGATTTAACACGTGTGCCAACACCTCCTTTGAACATCCCAACTTCTGCTGACTAGCCTTCCCCCTGGCGTTCGCATCTTCGATTTACCTAGCATCTGAATTAAAGATGCACTAAAGGAGCATTTCCGTTCGATGACTGTTAATTTGGCGGCCCGCTGAAGTGGTAAATGAATCCAGATGACGGCTGGGTTGGCCTCTCCTAACCACAGTCAAAAGCCCCGCTATGTGGTCAGAACGTACGGTCGCACGGTCAACATTACTCTGACTTTTCAATATGACTGTCTGTGCTCTTCCCCTGGGCTGCTGTTGAAAGGAGGGAGGGGGGGGGGTAGTAGACACATGTTGACACCGTATGACCGGTACCCTCATGTCCGACTGGGACACGGCTCGCCCCCCTATGACTCATCACCGCGGCGTGTCGGCGAGGCACGGAGAGGCGTGAGCGCGAGCGGTGATGCTCCCGCAGCGGGCGCAGGCACGGCTCTAAGGCCACGACCCGGTCATTGATGCGCCTACACGACAGACATGTGCGTTTGAGATGCTGCCACGGCCCCAGGCGCTCAATAATCAGACGGCGCGAAGATCCTTGGCTGGTAGCCTGAGTGCTAGTTGATGCCGCCGTCGCCGCCATTTCCTCCGCCTTCTATTCCTCCCCCTCCCTCTCTCCCCACCACTCCTCCCTCTTCTTTATGAGCAAATCAATCGTAAAAAAGGCGACGTGTAAATCCAATTCCTGCGTGAATTATTCGTATCACCAGGGCACGTTTTTTGCAATCTAGCATAATTATGAATGGTCCGAGATAAATGTATCCTCAGACGTTTCGGATGTATGGCATAAGTCTGTGTGTAGACTTTCTCTACACACAATAAGTCCGTGTAATTTAAAGAAGAGTGATTTCGACTAAGTTCCTTTGGGGAATTTTTACTTGAAGGCGACAGAAACATCATTCCGGTCAAGGTGGCACTCCACTATCTTGTCTGAATGCCAGGTCGAAAGAACATATGTTGACTTCATGATCAACTAATGCCAATAAGTCCTCGTAAAAACGCAGGATGGGGTAGTTAGCAGTTACTGCATATACTGAGAGGACCTGGAGGTATTTAATTCCAAAGACACTCGTGTTATTCTACTTGCCACCGCAGGCCGGAAATTCTCCAACAAGACGCTTTCAGTTACCGATCGCGGGCTAGATCGCAGTTGGTAGCCAGGCCCCGAATCACAGGTGGCGGGGGGTTTGTTTACTGGGGCTATTTTGTGGGGCTCCATCATCACATCTCACCCATTTGGCTTCCGTCTTACGTTTGAGGTAAGGATTAAGGTACCGGTTAATGGTTTCCGATTTTCGGTTTAGAATTATGCCCGTAGGCTTAGGTTTTCGGGTTACGGTTAGGGTTTGGGCGTACGATTAGGTTTCAGAATTACGGTTAGGTTTTTCAGTTACGGCTATACCTAAGGGCTACAGTTACGTATACGATTTCGGTTAGGGTTAGGGTTGTCGTCAGGGTTAACGTTTAAGGTCAAGGTTAGGGCTAAGGTTAAGGTCGCCGTCCACTTCCCCATTCCTGGCTACCAACTGCGATCTAGCCCGATCGCGTGCTACCTTTCGTACCTCTCGAAGAGTAAACGTTAAGAAATATTGACAGAAGTTGCGGACAGCCACACACAGCGCTGCCGCTGAAAATATTCGTCATTGCAACCCGAAATGTTTTGATGTTAACGACGTTTAGGTACGGTGACCAATTTCCGAGGGAAACCAAACCCCATAGTACCAACAAAATCGAAGAGATGGCACAGATTGAAGTTGCATCCATCGACTGCAACAGAATGTAAAAGATGCAAAATGATTGGCTGACAGACACGGCAAATGGAATGCACGATTAAGGAGATACGACCGCTGGAAAAAGAGCTGTATTAGTCTGACGTTTCGGATTCTCACTTAAATCCATCATCAGTGACAAAATCAGACCTGGTCAGACTTTGTCCCCCATGATGGATTCCAGTGTGAATTGCGCCCATTTCGCGAAATCTTTCGCATGTTCTAGAAGTCAAGACCCCAAGGTGATTTCGCACAATGTTTACAGGCTGCAAACATTGTGTGAATACCACCACCGGCGATTCACTCTTCTCGGCTTGGCTGACCTCATGCTCGCCCGAATTCTGTTTAGTCGTCCCGATTTTTGTTTTGTTGGAGGACTCATTACTGTGAATCAGTGTGAATTCTGACAAAACTGTTGGTCACCAAATTAGTGTTGCCAGTCTGGTGAGTGCGGAAAAGACGAATAATCCGCACATCGGATGTGTTGCGAATCACTGGGTCTTCGGCATCGTGAGTCAAAACGACCTCTGGCATGTAATTAGACTGTGGATGTCTCAAACTGTCCACTTTCATGTTCGGACAGCCCTGCTAGGCATGGTGGGTCGTTTGACTGACGAGAAATTAATACCGGAGGCATTCGAGGTCATAAATGGGAGGAAGCAGGCTCGCGTCATCCAACCCTTTCAAAACCACACAGGCTAGGGAATGCGGACAGACGCCTACCAAGGATATCGACCAGACGGACGACAAGCACGACAGCATCAACTATATCCAGTTAGTCACGTAAACCTGCAGAATAAATAAACGGCAGATCGATTACCTGATGTGACAAACATTAACTAACAACCCAGTAACATTTATAACTAGGTTGGAGCTTGCACCTCTAGGGTTGGTGCATACATTGCTTTCCGACACCACTCAGTATGGAATTGCTTGCGCTAGGTGCGTTCGCAAAGACGATCGGAAATATGATGCTACAAGTCCGTATTAAGACCCACCTTAAAGGACTTCTTAATTAACGAAGAAACGGCATACACAGAACCAGCAGGTATGACAACCGGCCATACAAATTGGGGCGGTTGTCGTCGAAGTCAGTCTCATAGAAGGGAACAGGGCGAGGCGACAAGCAGTCATGGTTAGATTTCGGCAGGTCAATGCACAAATCCTGTCAATATTTTTCTAGTGTCAACGAGCCTTGACACACATGGGACGGCCTTGCTGGACACAAAATCGCGACCTGACCAACCTAACCCCCGACAGCAAAACCGCCAGTAGCACCCCTCCTCTCTCACCCAACATCGTCTATTGCCCTACTTAGGCATGCGGATACCTCTACCAACGAAGGCGGCAGCTGAAACAGAAGGACACCCAATAGACACCCAGTGTCTACAACTTGCATACACGATGCCACCCAGGCAACTTCACATGTCAGTCACGCATCAGCCTAGTCGGCCATCTACGAATACGTCGCAGCGCAAATGCCAAAACCAGGTATCCACTAACACATCTTCCTCGCCACAGTCTACTGGACTACTGTTAGTCCGAGCGAATCGGCCCACTTGACCGTGATATTTCTGACCACCTTTATTGTCGCTGAAAGATGCAAAACAAGTGGGAAATTTCACG